TCCTAGGAAATAACGTAAACTGAAAATAGTTCAACAGGTAAAGGAAACTTTTTTCTCGAATTAAGAAAATAAAATACGGATTTTTTTAAGACTGATCAAGAGAAGAAGAAAAAAAAACGAAAGAAAATTCTCGTTATTTCATATATATTTTGTTTTCCAAAGAAACTAAATATACGCAGAATTTCGTTATTATAATACGCTACTTAACGCGATTAAATGCATTCAATTAGACGCGCAGGTAATACTACTACGTCGTGCTGCTACCTCGGTCAAGTTTGACGTGCGACTACGCATCCAATGAAAACGCAGCCTGAAGAAACATGCCGTACATGGAACACGTTGTACGTGCATTGGTTGCTCGTCGTCTAAAGCTTCAGAAAGCTCCATCACGCAGAGGTCGGTGCGGCGAGAAGCCGAAAGTACGTAACACGTTGGTGCAGTAGTCGATAAACGATTCAAAATAGCTGCCACGTAAACGGGGAGGAATAAGCCGGACGAGTAGATCGCGCGTTTAATTAGCTCCGGGATGGATTTGGAGCTGTGGGAAGTCGGTATCTTAGCTCGCCGTCTCCGATCGAAAGAAAGTCGAACACGGTGAAAGATGCCGTAACGGTGTTTCGCCGTCGAAATTATAATCGAACCCACTGCCATGTACGGCGCGGACGTTCCGAGCAGAACTGGATCTTTTCAAATAAACTTCAGCCCACTCTCACGACCGTTTGCTATTGTTCGATGGTTGAACGACCAGCGCGAATAGAGGACGATGGGAACAATGCGTTAGGAAAATAAATGGGATTTGCAATACGTTCACGGAGAAAGATAATAACTGGCCGCCGTTCTGGAGTGAATAACAAGTTCAGAGACGCGACTGAGAGCGACATCGTGCAGATCTCTTCGAAATAAACTATAATAACGAAACGTAGATAGATGTCGTACAGAGATATCGTTGAATCGTGTTAATTAAACGGGGGAGGAAAAGGAATGGAAAATAGATAGAGAGATCTATAGATAAGATAGGCGATAGATCGAAAAAGAGATAGAAATATTAGAGAAGGAGAGAAAGAGAGGGAGGAAGTTGAAAGATGTAGAGATGTGTGGCGTAAAAGAGAGTAAATGCGACTATCGAGACGAAGAGAGAACAGAGAACATCGATTTTTCGTGCATCGAAAAGGAAAAATCGAGAGAAAGTTGAAATTCCGTTGTGACGCGAAAGAAACATTCGATCTTGACACTGTACGAAATATATATATGTAGGTATACACACATAGTAATTTCCAAGAAAAGTTTTGACCGTTCACATTCGTGTCGTACGCTCCAAGCTGCGTATATACGTTGCAAACGACATATAGTATACACAATCGTCGGAGACTGCGGTAACCGCAGTGTCGGATTATGACATGAGTATAAAAAACGGCGGTACACGCAGACTAGAGGTGTAGAGACGGGTAAAATACAGTTTCGAAGTAATGTGTATATTTGTTGTAACATCGTTAACATCGTTTCTATCTAATTATTTGATCGCACGTTCATTGGCCAATTTAGAAATGTTCACGTAAATTCTAACCTCGTTAATCTCGCTGAATCGAAAGCGTTCGTACAAGCATCGTTTTTCTACATTTTCCATGAAATTCGAAATAGTATTTTATTCACCTCTGGAGAAGGTTGCATGCTCTAGAGTTGGTACACACTAGAAATACATTTGTACACTCGTACCGTGATTAAGAACAAACAGAGAGATAAATATATATATATAGGTACGTATGCACGTGACATATGCATGTATGTACATATATGCACACATGGATGCACGTCTATGCATATTATGTGATTTATATAGATTTATATATTTATATAGATATATGCATAGCACATTATTCTCTACTAGAGCTTACTAAATGCGTGATCGAACCGAGTACTCGTCCGAGAGTAACCTGCAACAGCGAAACAACAGCCTGTCACTGCCCCCTAGGGTCATGTACTTACGTCTAATGTCTAGTAGCTTGTTTTTTTTTTTTTATTTATGAGGCAAAGAACAGATAAAACAGAACGGTTGATCGAGATAGTTTCATCGATCTTCGTCTTTTGTCTCTGCCAGTTTGATGCTGCTGGTATTTGAAACAGAAGCCAACAAATCTCGTTAACCGTTTAACTTAAAACATTTTTCTTATAATTTAACAATGTTATTCTTCTACGTACACCTAAATTGTCATGTTTAGAAGATTCTTCTTAATATCTACTGCGATAAAATTTCAGCCATAATAAAGTAAAGTTACGAACAAAAAAAAAGTACTGTAAGTAGAGTGGTGAAAGAAAATGAAGACAAACTTGGGAGGCATGAATTATTCGTCAAAGTAAAAACAGTTTTTAATGAACATGAATTCGAAAGTAACTTTTTTAAGCATTATGAAATATTTTCATTTGGAAAATAGCAACCAAATATTTATGGATACGTTTAAAGGATATAATGTATTACATGTATATGTACGAGTTAACACGTGACATGATTTTGGACGAGCAAATTAAAAACTATCGTCGTTAAAGGAAAGTAAGGAACCAAGGGCATGTCACACACATTTACGATAAATGAAAAGTGCATGATAAATCTAAAGAAAGTATTTTTCGATCTTTATTCATTAACACGTCCCGTAGTCGACACCAGCGAACCGAGATAAAATATCTTTTGAGCCAGTATTCCAGTAAAATATGTATGTACGTCTAAAAGAAAACTAGAGTATCCAGTGTTCTATTGCTATTTTTCTACAATTAAATACTCTAATTAAACTTTTATACTATACTCGTATTTTAACTCGTATTTTAATAAATTTCTCTTAAATGAAAATTTATTTACATGCCACAAAGAAACGAGTACAACTGCTATTCAGAAAATGATTTCGTTGTCAGTTTTAATATTTATTCTAAATACACTAAAATTCAAGGTATATTACGAACTCAATAAATATTTATCAAATTGTACATTTGTCACGTTTCATTATAATCACATGTATATGGTACATTATACACATAACATTCTTACAGAAATAAATGAAAGTGATAATTATCAACAGGCACTCACATGATTCTTCGAATAGTTTTACAATAATTAATTTGTATACATAAGTTATTCGCATATACATATAAGTACTAATAATTGTTATCCGAATGAAATATTCCACTAAAAAGAATTCATTGTGATGATAAATAATCTTCGATACATATTTATTGGAAAAAAATTCAAAGAATGCCTAATTTTCGTCTCGATGAGTAGGTAAATATCTTCCCAATGTGTTGTCTCGCCTTTTTTCACCACCCCGTATACACCACTAATGCTACGCGTAAAATGGGTCAATATAGAGACTGTTTAAACATGAGAAAACTGTTATAAAACATTTAACTACAACCTCAGCAAACGTGAAACCTTTGAATGTGTGTTGAGTTTCCTTTAAATAGTCCGCATTCATTAACAATTCTCCCTGTTCCTCGTCTAGCTACATTATATCGTATGAACAAATGAGTCGTGTTTTATGGATGGACGTCATGCACGAAATATATTACGAACCGTAACTTTTTTTCCAGGACACTTTCAATCAACATTTTTCAGCATTTTCGCGAATACGATAACAGGTCAAATGTTCTGAACTACACGATTTTTATAGGTATCGGAACGTCCATGAATAAGAATTAAATGGAGAGAATACAGAGGCATAAAGAAAAGCAGATAGGTACATATGTATATACCATAAGAGAAAAAGAATCTTCATTTCACTCGAAGCGATACCTTACGACGACAACGTGAACTATTTCGCCATGCATTTCAACATACTGCATGAAGGAATCTCACATGAATATTTTTTTAAGGACATACAATCGGTGTACCTACGCGTCTACCTATTTTTCTTTTTCTTTATGGGTGAAAAGTGAAGTCTTAGTAGACAATTAATACGTATAAGATCAAAATTGAACGCAATTAAGAGATGGTTAAATATGCTTTGTTATAAAAGAATTACGCTGTGGATGATGTTAGAAACGTATGACAGTTACGTAACTATTGCAAATGTTCTATATGTATTCACCCTGCTTGGAAGACAATAAAATTCGCCCTTAACACTGGAATGTCCTCCTTGCGAATGTTTGAAGTGTGCCATGTGAAAATAACCAGTGAATGTATATCTGATAACGAACATGACCGTTCCTGTGCATCAAACGCGGAAGTGCCGAAATTCTTCTCGAAAATCTCACAGTTCTCTCTAAAGTGGGACACCGGTCACGAAAATTCCGTAACGTATATGCGACGCTATTTAACCCAAAATAAAACAAGGTCGAAGAAAAATGTTCACAAGTGTTTGTTCATCGATTACCTTATTCTCAATTCGAACTGAAAATTTATGATACTACACCAGAACTGACATAAAATAATCGACTTTATATTGAAAATATTTACAGAAAACGAAGGAGAAAAAAAAAAGAAGGATCTACATATGATGGTATAACGAGATAGTCTATAACTCGACTAATTAGAGAGCATTCAAAATTACATTCGTAAAAGGCAAACAGATGAGAAGAAAGTATTTGGAATGTATGTATATAAAACAAAACGAAAGGGCGATTCGTTGCGAGCAATTTCGAATGCACGTGTGCGCGTTCGTTAGCTGAGTGAATACTTATCCAGTCGCGTGTCCGTGTATTGCACCATCTTCTGGAAATAGAGTATGGTTGACGTTTATCTCAACGCAATGCAGCCTAGCGTTACGCGTGTTAACGTTGACTCGCTGGGTTACGTAGCGAGCATGAAGCGGATGAAAAAGAGAGATGCAGATAGTAACAAAACAAAGATGAGCAAAGAGGGGAGGGATGCGGAATCGATGCAAGTTTAAGCGTAATAATAATCATACCAGACGAACTTCTCGTCTTATAGAAAGGTACGTAGAGAAGCAAAAAAATAAAATAAATAAATAAATAAATAAATAAATAAAGATAAAACACATATCATTGATTTAACTTACTCAGGATATTTCACGTTGGGTAGAGCCTTCAGGAAACACCGTTGACGCAGTATACCCTCCCATAGTTGAACGCCGACGATACCGAAGATAAAGAAAACGAAGAAGCAGAGCAGCAGCACGTTACCCAGCATAGGAAGAGTGTCGAGTAAAAGCATCACCAGTATCCGCATACCTGTTAGGGGGGGAGGGGGAGGAAATGTGACGACCGCAACGCTTTAAGCCTCGTTAAAATCTCCTCTGCTTACGTACTATAAATAAAGGATTCTTCTATTTACGTAGCGAGGGGAAAAATAATGTCATCCGGATGCCGCAGCAGGAAGAGAAGTGTACTCGAAGTGTAAAAATACGAAACTCGACCGGTAAAAAGCAAAGGATGTTCTAGACGGAGAACTTAAATACGGTGTGTCCCGGCTATAAATTGATCCACTCATTATTTGTTCATATGGATCGCTCTGGAATAAATCGATCAAAGTTCATTCATAAACGCACGTGCACCTACATACATCCTTATAACGTGTAGGATGTAATTGTCGCGAACTCTCTGGGAAACATGTAAATTTTCGTCTGTTTCAGTACGAACGGGTATGCTGAATCTCCTTTTCACGCGACTTTATTTAAAGAAACCCACGGCTGCGTGGAATACCATTGGTAAAAACGTTCGTGTTGTTGAGTCATCGAAATTGCATATTCGCGGTAAATATTTTTAAACGAATGCTAAATAACAAGTTCGTAAAGTTGAAAAGTAACATCTGCTGATTGGTTAATTGAAGTATTAATCGTGAATGTAGTGTATGAATAATATAATTGGAAGTATCGTACAGAGTGAAGCATAGCTTATGGTAAAATAAAAAATAAGATGATTCTTAAGAGTGTATTAAATTAATGAAATTTTTTCGTAAAGAATTAGTTATAGTGAAAATCGATATCGACGATCGATAAAGTATGCGTTCAATTGAATGTCATTTGCTATGTAATATCTCTTTACATCTCGTTACTTCTTATTCCATTGGCATTTATAAACATATTGATGTTGGAAGTAATATAAAATGTTATTCGAGTGTTGCAAATTATGTTAAAAATCGCTAAAAATGTGTGAAAAATAATTTGAAAATGAAATAATCCTATTTCTTCTTTGGGATTTAAAAGTGATCCAAAGGGAAAGCGTTTATTTTAAATAGTGCTCCATAAATAAAAGAAAACGATTACGTCTGACAATTTGGGTTAGGTTAAATGCCACTTTCTATTCAACTGTACCCATTTCCAACAAAAATCAATGTTCTCAAAGACAAAACTTTATACAGTCAAATTTGATCTATTCTTTCATCGATTTATTTTTAAACGAAAAACCGCTTTACCTTTGGTGAATTCATGAATTGCAACTCGACCGTATATATTATTTTTCTTATATAACAAAAAGTTTATGTATTCGATAGATTTTGTTTAATTGAAAATTTCTTCTATAACTGAAGTGTATAGTTTATGTACATGTTGGTTCGTTCAAGTATGTGCATGTATATAGTAGAATTATTTACCACGAAAGCAGAGAAGTCAGCAGTTTTCAATGTATGAAACCTTAAAGTTGTTTTTGCACTTACTTGGAATTCTATTGATGGCACGTAGAGGTCTCAGGACTCTTATTGTCCTTATCGCCGATAAATTCATGTTTTCCACGTTCAAACAGTATTCCAGAGCACTGTAACAAAATTGAATAGAATTTCTTTCACTCTCACATCAAATGTTTGTTAAGATTTATTCGTAAAAATTTATTATACATGTTTGAAATCATCGACGGAACAATGTAATTGAAATCGTCTTGCTGTAATCTTTTTACTTATAATACAAAGGTAAAGATTATGTTTAAATAGGTGAAATATCGAACATCTTGTATACTAATTTTTTCTATTTTTTGATAAATTCTTGAAATATTTAAACTACATTTTTGAGCACGTGTATCTTTCGACGAACATATTAATTTGTAAATGAAAATATTTGCATATGATTTTTGCAAAAATGCAAATATGTATGTACATTAACTAGGTCAATATTAAGAAATACAGTTACTCCGAAAAATATTCGTAATATTTGAAATATTATAAGTACAAGTAATATAAATATTATGCTATGAATATTTAAAATATTAATTTTGGCTATCCGAATATTTGTGCAACATAACAATTAGACACAATTTCGATTAATTCGTATTACAATGTCATATGCGAAAATACATTAAACAAACAATACGTAATCCTAAAGTACAATAAATGACGTTTCATAACGAGAAAGCAACCACACAATCCTTTTATAATTAACCGAAATACATCATTAGAAAGGCAAGCTTATAAAATGTCAGAATAATTTTGGGAGTAACTGTAGATCTGTTTTCCTGGTCTGGCTTTACTTTAAACCACTTCCCAAATAATTAGTCAAATTGTTCCACTGTTATTTTGACTAATCTATTTAAACATTAATCTTTCATAATAATCTGAACTATATGAAAATCGTATTTTTTAACTTAATTAAGAGAAAGTTAGGCGAATCTTAAACAGTACAATAATACATTCTTCTAACTATCCCCTCTTTGTATAACTGTAAAAATATTATAAATATTTTTCTCGTTACTTTTACAAAGTATAATAATGCACTGGTATGCGAGAAAAAGCAATGTAAACTTGAACATAATTCGATACTAATATAATTGAAAAGAAAAGAACATTTTATCATGTTAACAATTATTTTTCTCGTGGAATAGAATTAACGTAATATTATTAAATACAATCGACTTATTGTGAAATTTGAAAAAAAGCACGTTAACGCCTTATCAATTTTATCAAACTTCTAAGTACTTCTATAGAACTCCTGCGATTAACTTTATTCGCGTGACATCATTCAATTCACGAAACTTTATTTCGCGAGAAACTTCCCGCAAAACGCGTTTCCGCCTCCATGACCGTAGAGCATCAACTGAATTAAGGGAAACTTTCGCGAGACTCTAACGACGGCTATACAAAAACAGAAATTGCCTTAGAACGGATACATCCTATTTATTTTCTGATAAAACTCACACGGCATACCAAGTTTCGTTTCGATTCACATTCTGTAGCTCCAACTATCCCTGTATATATACGTGGATCATTTGAAAAGTTCTAGGGATACAGTACAAATAACAGTAAGAGTTGTGAAATTTTTCGCTTTTTCAGAGATCTCCATTTGTCATATGAATAACTATAGGACATTCATATACACAGTTATTTGTATAAATGTGCTTCTACGTTTTGCATCTCATCAAACGAATTTGAATATAAACTTTTCAAAGGATCAAAAGTCGTACTTCAATTTGCCGAAATACGATTTATATTGCCTTTGAAATTTCTTGGTACAAAGAAATGCTTATCAGAGGAGGAACTTAAGAAAGCTGTTGATGAATATTTTGCAGGTCTTAACAAAGCGGAGTTTCGCGATGGTATAATGGCTTTGGAACACTGCTGGTCTAACTAAGTACATAGATGTTAAAGGGGATTATATTGGAAAATAAAAATAATTTGAGAAAAGCGATACCTGCCTTTCCGTTCGTTTCAAATGAGCCATGTAATAAAGAAAACACATAAGAACAGATTTTACATATTAAGTAACGTCTGACACGATGTGTAAGTACAACACGCCACAAGAACCTGCTGCTTTTAAGGGTTAAAATCGTGCCGTTTTGGCACGATCTACGAGCAAAGAAGTGTGCCCCGTGCGCATGACAAGCCCCGAAACAAGAAATAATTAACAAGCACTCACCCAGCCGCCACTATAAAGAAGTCCAACCTGTTCCAGGAGTCTGCGAGGTAGGTTCCCTTGCCGTATATGCCCATCGCGACCATTTTGATTGTCATCTCCAAGGCGAAAAAGGCGAAAATAATGTCGTCGAACATCTGTAAACCGGAAACGTAGGTGGTCCAATTAGAGGGAAATGCATCTAACTCGATCGGGCATAATTGATCAAGGACGCTCAAGCAACGAGTTCCACTAGCCCTCGAACCACTAACTACTATTACTTTCTCTCGTGTTTGCCTCCCTTTTCTATTCACCGTATAAAACCAAACGTGAAAAGTAATAGTACTTAATAAAAAGTATAAAACATGTTATAAAAAGAAAAATTTTGTGTAATATTATGTTAAATCATATTTTTCATGTTATACAGCAAATTATAAAAAAATTTGTTTCAGAACATTGTTTTGTTAATTAATGTAGACGCAGCTTAAGACAAACAGAGCAATTAATCAATCCCCCGCATTACGACGAATTTCATTCATTTTTTCTCTTTTTAACCTTTAGCAAGGAACCTCGAGAATTTTCCCTTGATTCTCATTTATCCTTTTGTTTTTATCTTTTTTTGGGGGGAAAGAACGCAACTCAAAACTAGGACAATCTGCAGTTTGGGATTAAATAAAATAGTTCCAACATTTTTCAATACGAAATTAATACTAATTGTAAGTGATAAAAATTAGATATTATTTTTAATCTTTAACTATAGGGGTTAATATTTCATGTCGAGTATCTTTTGTCACACCCTCTAGAATTGTGATATTTGGCGAGAAAATTAATTCTGCGAAATTTTAAACTGGTTCAATACCTGGGACTAGTATTATATTTCGAACATAACATCATTCCTCCACTGTAAAAGATTTAATGAATATTACTTTTTTTTAAGTACATTTTCTTAGATGTATAATTTTAAATAATTTACCCAAGTACTTTGAATTTTATTGTAATGCTGCGCCTTCTACAGTATAACTAACCGCACTATTGTACACGACTACGTGAGACAAAGTACCTGTGGTCTGAAATCCAGTTGCCTATTTAGCAAATTTTCCAAGTTCTTTCCGGGCAAAATTCATTCAGTGCATTCGAAATTGTATTCGAGAAAAGAATTTCTAAACCTTCTGTATGTGAAACACTCCGTTTTGAAAAATTTCAGAAAGCTTGGTTAAACATTAATAAATTAACTAAATTAAATAAATAAACATTAATAAACATTGTGTATAATAAAACGTTAAACATTTAATTTTTTATCGAGGTTAGAAAACCTTGTATATATATGAAAAATTCCAGAACATAAAAATGAATTTCTACTTGCATAATATATTCTGCTTTATATACAGTAGAAACAGCAAAAGGAAAATTATACAGAATTGTTCGAATTGATAATTATCTTTCTGGGTCGAACTTTTCCTTGAAAAAATTCTTTTCGTATTTCGGCAGCTTTACACCGTGCCAGATGGATAGCCACAGCTATTTATGTTTTGAAAGTTCCGTTAAAAATTTTTACGGAATAGTGAGAAAACAATACGATTTGTGTATCTTTTCCTCCAATTTATATATTCAAGTCTGAATTAATGTTCTCAGTCTTGTAATAGCACGATCTCGAAATTTAAAATTTTTTCAAAATCCTTCTACCTATTTTGCATTTCTGAATACACAAATTTTACAGTTACTTATGGTATGTTTATGGTTATCTCTTTTCGATGAAATAATATGTTTCAATATAAACTGGCATATAATCGAGGCTTTAAACAATATAACACGGAAAATAAAGTTAAAAAAAGTTGCAATACTTCTATACTAACACACATATGCATATACAGAAAGTTAGGTTAGGTATTTTATTTCTATGGAAACTAAGGAAATTCTGTAACAGATTTAATATATCTACAAACTTTTTAGAAAAATGTCCCTCAATTTGTGAAATGACAAAAGATATAAAGGAGACTTCGAAATAGTTTCACTTTAAAAATGTTCACAATTCTGGAAGATGCGACAGAAAAGAATCAGACGTCGAGAAATAAGGACCACTCTAACGTACGCTTACAAAAACAAATTAACTGATACCAACAATAGGTAACATATTAATGTCAGATCTGACCCTTTATATCTGACGTTGCGAAAAAATGGGTTAATTACTATGTAAATTGTATACATATATTCTGTACCGGTTGGCAATTAAATCACATCATTGATTAAAATTGTTCAACGCAGTGAGTCGCGTGCTATGACATAAAAAGGGTGCCGCAATTCTATCATACAGAGACGGCAGTCGAAAGCGCAACAATTTTTAAATCGTGACGCACGGAATTGTAATTGCAACTGTTTGCTTCGCTAAATCTGAATTTAATGTTGTGACAAATGAAAACGAGCATGCAAGGGAGGCGCAATTAATTTTATTTTTTTTATCATTTATAAAATTTGTTAAAATGCTTGTATGTGTACGTGTGTTGAAATACGTACATATATGGCTACATACTTGTAATATTTTACAGCGATTCGTTACGCATTGGTCGTCGACGCATGGTTGATACATCCCCAGGGTAATGCAGTTTAAAAGAATTACCATCATGCTAACTCTTTCAAACCACGTGATTCTGTGTTAAGGAAAATGCTTCTGCTGTCTTGTAATACTAAATTAATACTAATTATAAATTATTGTCGTACAAATTAAATATTATCGTTTAAATATGAAAACACAGTAAAAGCTTATAATTATTCCAAGGAATTTTTATGTCAAGAAAAATAATGTGGTATTTTTAGTAAAAAATGTGTTACGAAATTTCAAAAAAATACATTTATACTTTGAACTCGACTTTCTTGCAATTCTGCAATTAAAAAAAATCTAATTTCATTAAATTAACAAAACTTGTTATAAATAAACACTACTTAACAAATTATAACATCACGTAACTTTATGTTAGCAGATAACTGTTCAATCGATTAAAAAAGTAACTTCCACAACGAAGTAATAACTAGAAGAACATTTGTTTGATGTTTAGAACTTCTCTAACAAGTCAAGATAAATAGCTCAGTAAATTCAATTATAAAGTAATCGAACGAACACGTATCGTAAAACTATACTGCCTTTCATTTATCTCACTATTACACTCAATTGATACAACGTCCAGCTAAGCGTCCCCCTTTTTATTTCCGTCTAGTAATTTCTCCGTTCATGTTTTGACCTCTTATCGGTAACAACGATAGATTTACTTAAGTACAGATCACCCTCTAGATTAAATCATTATATTTAATTTAATCTTATTGGTAACTAGGACAGAATTAAGTGTAGAACACGTTCTAGATTAGATCATTATATTTAAGGTTAATATCATGATCTAATCTAGGAGGTGCTCTACACCCTTGAGACCATATGAAACCGCTATTATCACCCAGTTTAACCAATTTAGCCCCTGTTATGACATTTCGCCACCATGTCGTCACAAAACAATCGATCGGTAAGACAAGGCACAAGTGTAATCTAACAAATCGATCACGGTTGCCAAGTGACTATTACCTAAACACTATCCTCCTAGGTGCGTGACTTAAGGTTCTCTTCATGTCAGATAAATGCTGGAATGATATTTCTCCAGTAATCGTCGAAACTATAGCCTTTTACCGATCTCATTCACGAAAACGTTTGAGAACACAACTGTTGTCACGCGAATTGCTATATTTACAAAACACGCAACAATAACAGTCGAGCCATGAAATTAACGAATTCTTCAAGAATTATAGAAACGACCAACCAAACGTTTAAAGAAGGAAGATATAAATATACACACACATACACATAAGTAATTTATTATAAACAAATATCTTTATTTCTGAGGTTAGGTTAGGTTAGGTTACCTTTCATAAATTTTGAATCAGTATTCCTTCTAGTTTTACAGGAAATTTAGTCGAAAACCAGAGAAGCGGATAAAATTGATAGAGACCTTGCACAAACGTGATGAAACTTGGAAAACTCGAGATGGAACGATTTCATCTTCGTGTGGGTAATAAACTGCGTGCAAACTGAAGGAACGGCACACGTTCAGCGTACACTTTGGGAACAATATTATCTAGGATGCTTTTGTTGAAAGATTTATAACTTGCAAGAACGCGGGGTAAAAATCCGAATCGAAGAGCATATCGCGAATACTGTAACGGATCTCAAGGTCTCGTGTGAACCGAAAATGTGGCAACAAGACCACAAATTTCGACATGTAAGAAGGGAAACCGCGTGAGTCGCGACAGTGCTCGACATTGCACGAAAACGTTATTCACGCGATACATTAACAGGCCACTGACACTACATTGTTATGTAGCTAAGTAACTGCCAGACTGATGGCCTTTTCCACATGCAAGCATTTCTGATGGCGTAATAATCCGATCGTTCAGTCGACTTACTCGTGACATCTAACGTCTAATCTTTTCGGTGAGAAATTGCCATAACGTTAGGGCAGGCGACGAAATTTGTCACGCACACTTTATCGCGATTTCATTTAAACGCGGGGGAATAGCATGTTTTTTATATGGTGTTTCAAACCAGATTCATTTTAACGTCACACATACACAAATTAATGTATTTGTGAAACAAGAATAGAGAGGTTTTGGATAGAGTCTCGCACAAGAAAAATAACTAAATAAGTAAGAAAATATTATTATTTTACTTTTCTTAATAATTGTCATGTCAATTTCATTTTTCTTTTTAGTAACTTTTATTAACTTAAGATTACGCAATCGTGCGTTAAAGTAGCTGTAGAATTGATCGCGCAGGATTATTCCCTAGATTAGTGAAATCTCTGGATATAACCTCGTTTAATTGCTGCATGTAAAATTACATGGAAGATTTTGCAAAACAGTTACAAAGGCTTAAAAAACACGATACTATCCATTCAAGTAAGTTACACATACCTCTTATTATTGGGAAAAAATTTATTTTCAATAATTTTCGCTTGCGACCATAAGCTACCTTCTAAGAACCCTTTTTTATTTAAAAAGATATAAACAACGTGTGTTTAAAAAAAAGTAGGATGTTTTATTGCATAAAAATAAAGTTACCTTTGAAATTATCTAAAAAGATACAAGTATCACTTTTGTTTTATAAAATTCTACGTCAATGCAAAAGAATTACTGCATAAAATTAAACGATGCTTACACTGTCGTCGATAAGTATCAGGACACCTATTATCTTTGCGCAGAAAATATTACAGGATTAAAATCATACTTCTGCGCCAAAGTTGATATCATATATCAGCAGAAATTTATTTTCTCGTAAATGGTAGATTTGTAAGAAAAATTGAAGAGGACATAGTTTCGTTATTTTTTATACACAATACGATGGCTTGCATAGATTTTTTTAATTTGCAATGATTTTCGCGCAATGACGTAACCGTGAATGTCTTTTTAAATTGGTAGCTACAATTTTTTTTACATCACACGAAAGCAATTGCTGAGACAAGTTTAACGATCCGCAACGAACTCAATTTCACGTTAATGTTTGATGTGACATAATCAACGACACCCTATTAAGATCTTATCTTTATGATGGCACCTTAAATAGAAACAGATATTTAGATGTTTTATCGTGCATACACATTGTACTATGAGATTCCAGATTGAATCATTTTTTCAGGATATTAATAATATTGCAACGACTGTTTAGGTTTGCTTCGCGTCCAGTAAGCGTCCTAATCTTACGAACGGGAGTGTACATGATTCAGCCCTTTGCGGACGGAGGACTACATACCATATTGAGATACTGATTACTGCGAACGTATAACTAGGTCACTCTTCCAATTTCTTTTCAAGCTGGATCGTTTCAAAATTCTATTTGTATTAAATACAAGTACACGAGTTTATGGCAAAGCCAACTATTTTTATTGCTTAAAAATAGCCCAGTTATTCGTTACATTTGTAGCATTTTGTGAACGCACATATGAGCCTATCGTCCTCAAAGGGTTGAGGGGAAATACCTGAAAGCGCAGGAAATACTTCCAAGCTCTGTGTTTTTGCAAAATTTACCGTTACCGATCAAACTTCTTCTCGAGCAAGTTCTTCTTTGCAATCATATACAGGGTGTTCCAGAAATCGCGATACAACTGGAAATTTAACCGAAGCGTTTATTGAAATATCTCGTATTCAACGATAAAACTTCATTTAAAATTACACTTGGGTACTTTCAATTACAACTATATGAATTTAATAAATGGTTTACTCCAAAGATAATAAAAATTTATTCCAAAGAAACTGTATCCTTTCAGAAGAATGGGCGAATAGCAGACGTTAGAACTGGATCTGACATTGATGGGATAGTGATAGAGTACGAAACATAAATTTCCAATAGGCCAGGCTGTTGTAGAAAGCTTTCCGGCTCTCATTTCCACGGACCTACACAAAGAAACGAACATCGAGCGAATTAGATCTGGTGCATTACAGAACAGCAGTTATTCGTTCCACGGTTGGAAAATATGCCCCGCTGGAATCCGGAGCGAAGCTGAATAATCGATAAACCAAGAGGATTTATCAATGAAAAATTGAAGGACGACGAATCGAACAACACGTGGAAATATTAAGAAAGAAATACACGAGAAAGAGAGAGAGGAAGAGATGGAAGAAGGGAAGAAATGACAGGGGAGCTCGATTCAAAGATCTGCACCCAGCGCATTGCCATCTTTAGAGCCTCGAGCTGATTTCTACTCGCAGCCTGCACACGGTTTATATATAGAACTCGATCAACCGTCCTTCGATACTAACGACAGGTTAGTATGCGTTCATCACAACACCGATCCATTACACGGTATCACGAACAATGACAAGTCTGGCACGTGTGGGGCATAAGTAGTCTCACCCGGTGTGTGGTGGTGGTGTCTAATTGCCCGACAACTTTAAGCGCTTAAACGTTAACCCCCGTGTGTTCGCTTAGGCCTCGGTTATTTCACGCGATTAGAAATTCGATGAAGGATCGAGGTTACGCGGAGGAGCCGGAGGAGGAGATGTTTCCTCGGACAAATCGCGAGAAACCTGGCGCGTTATCTACTTTCTACAAACATGCGGAGTGTGTCCGATCAATAAACCGCTGGCCTCCGCCAGGCTCTCTCCTCCGGTGTAACCCTTGAATCTTGCCGCGTCGCGACTCGCGGCTGTTAATACAAAGGGGAACTTTTTTCTTTCGCAACGGGTCCCTGAGATTCGTGGTTAGCTGGGCGATCGCGCCACGTCCCTGCGACGCTTGAATAAAAACACGGAGCAACAGTTTGCTTCGAACTCTTCTCTCTCTCTCTCTTCCTGTCTCTTTGTGCGGAAGCACAAGAGCCTGTGCGGCCTGGAGAATAAACTGGAACAAAAGTACCCGAAACGATGTTCCACAACGCTGGTCCACCATGAAATTCCGCGGGGTAGAGAGAGAGGAGAAGAACCGTTTCGCTGCGCGCCACTGCTATTCATCGTTTCTCGTTTCAGCGGAAAAAAAGGGAAATAATAAGGGAGCTTAGGTGGTATTGTAGCAGTGATTGAGCGTGCGCATGATAAATTACCGAGACATTTCGGTAGGACGAATCAGAGGAAAAGTAAATTTAGTCACGCAGCTTTCCGCGGATGTGTGGGA